ACAGCGCCCCTAGAGGACAGAGTGGAACTGCCCCACAGGGTCTCCAAGGCTGTCAATCTTCACAGAAGCAAAGCCCAAACCACACCCACTGCAGTGGAGTGGATTCTGACTCACAGCGCCCCTAGAGGCCAGAGCGGAACTGCACCACAGGGTTTCCAAGGCTGTCAATCTTCATGGAAGCAAAGCCCAAACCAAACTCACTGCTGTGGAGTCTATTTGACTCACAGCGCCCCTAGAGGACAGAGTGGAACTGCTCCACAGGGATTCCAAGGCTGTCAGTCTTTACAGAGTTGTTGTTGTTATGTGCTGTCTAGTCGGACCCGGCTCATAGTGACCCCTCCTTGGGTTTCTGAGGCAGTATCGCTACAGAAGTAGATTGCCCCATCTTCCTTCTGAGGAGTGGCTGGTTTGAACTGCCAGCCTTCCAGTTAGCAGTCAAGTGCCTTAGGCACTACGCTACCAGAGCTCCTAATCTTTACAGAAGCAAAGCTCAAACCAAACCCTTGCTGTGGAATCGATTCTGACTCAGTGCCCCTAGAGGACAGAGTGGAACTGCCCCATAGCTTTCTTCCTCTGAGTGTTGTGTGGGTTCGAACAGCTGACCTTTTTATTAGCAGCTGAGTGCTTCAACCAGTGGTCTACCAGGTCTCCATCCGTAAAGATGACAGCCAAGACAACCCCATGGGGTAGTTCTACTGTGGACCACACGGGGTCGTCCCGAGTCAGAATTGACTTGAGGGCAACAGGTATTTTGGCTTTTGTGGATTTGCCAGTTTGTTTATCCGTTGACCTGTTGGAGGACACCCTGGGAATCTGTGTTATAACAAGCCCACCAGGTGGGGCTGACGAGGGACCCCTCTCCTTGTTCCCTGCCAGGTCCACACGTACATCATCAGCTACCTGAAGAAGGAGATGCCCTCCGTGTTTGGGAAGGAGAACAAGAAGAAGCAGCTCATCCTTAAGCTGCCGGTCATCTTTGCTAAGATCCAGCTGGAACATCACATATCGCCCGGGGACTTCCCCGACTGCCAGAAGATGCAGGTGGGAGCCCGTCCAGCAGGGGGCGCCGGGAGGGTGGGACCTTGGGCTTCTGTGGGCTCCAGGCTGGGACGTCAGAAACTGAAAGGATGGGCAGGGATTCTAAAGGCACCTCCTGCAACCTGGGGGTGTGCTGTTAGGAATTGTTGTTGTTTGCCATCGAGTCAGACCCGACTCATAGCGACCCCTCCTTGGGTTAGAAATTAGTCTGAGCCAATGAAGAGAAACGAAAAAAGGAGCCCATTGCTATCAACTCCATTCCGCCTCACAGCGCCCCTAGAGGACACAATAGAACTGCACCATAGGGTTTCCCAGGCTGTCAATCTTTATGGAAGCAAAGCCCAAACCAAACCCACTGAGATGAATTCGTTTAGCCTTCCTCATCCCCCAGGTGAAGGCACACTGATGTTACCACTCCTATTGCACAAAATTGAAGCTGAGGCCCAGAGAGGTGAAGTTACTAGCTGGGGGACACACAGCTCTGAAGCGCAGAGCTGGGTTGGAACCCAGGTGGCCAGCCGCTCCCAAGTTGCACGCCCCACCCCTTTCTGGTCAGGAGTAACCGCCTGTCTGCCTTGACTCTGGAAATTAACAAGGCTCGGTGTAATGAAGAGTTTCCTGCTTCTTTGAGTGCTTCTGACTCCCAGCCCAAACCATTTAGAATCACCCCTGTGAGAAGCAGCACGGACGCCCATAACCCAGCTACACTAGCACACAATGACTTTGTTTTGGGGTTTCAGGGTCCCTGTCTTAGTTATTAAGGAGCTCTGGTGGTGTCGTGGTTAAGGCATTTGGCTGCTAACCAAAAGGTCGATGGTTCCAACCCACCAGTTGCTCCATGGAAGAAAGATGAGGCAGTCCGTGTCCGTAAAGATTTACAGCCTTGGAAACTTAATGGGGGTTGGTATGAGGCAGAATCCACTGAATGGTAGTGGAATTGGTTTGGTCTTAGTCATCCAGGGCTGCTCTACTGGCAGTTACAAACGAGTTCCCTTACTATGTCTGTCTTTAAGCCAAATCTGCACAGTAAATCAAATACAGTTAGGTATGGTTTATACTGAAAGTCAGTTGGTCAGATGTTTGTCTCAACATGTAGCATATAGTGTGCCTTTCTATGCATAAAAGCATTAAAGAAACACTTGCAGATACACTACAACATTTTTAGCCTAATAATACAGTAATAATAATATGTGTTTTGATGTACATGGCAAAGCAGCACCCATTGGTCATTACGAACCGTTGTTTGTACCTCAAACGTTTTAATATAATAGGCTTTCTGGGCTTGACTTGTATTAACAACTATAGGTTGTATGTATGTCTTAACCTGATGACTGCCTGTAACAGAAATACCACAAATGGGTGGCTTTAACAAACAGACATTTATTCTGTCATGGTTTGTCGTTGTTGTTGTTGATATGTGCCATCGAGTCAGACCTGACTCATAGCGACCCCTCCTTGGGTTTCCAAGGCAGTATCTCTACGGAAGTAGATTGCCCAGTCTGCCTTCTGAGGAGTGGCTGGTGGGTTTGAACCGCCAGCCTTCTGGTTAGCAGTCAAGTGCCTTAGGCACCGCACCACCAGAGCTCCTACCTTCACAGAAGCAAAGCCCAAACCAAACCCAGTGCCTGGAGGGGCTTCTGACCCACAGCGCCCCTAGAGGACAGAGTGGAACTGCACCACAGGGTCTCCAAGGCTGTCAGTCTTTATGGGAGCAAAGCCCACACCACACCCACTGGGAGCAAAGCCCAAACCAAAGTCACCGCCATTGACTTGACTTGACTCATAGCCACCCCTCCTTAGGTTTCCCAGGCAGTATCACTATGGAAGTAGATTGCCCCATCTTCCTTCCGAGGAGTGGCTGGTGGGTTTGAACCGCCAGCCTTCTGGTTAGCAGTCAAGTGCCT